GTGTTTTTTTTTCTTTTATAACACAGATAAATGGATTGCTTTTTATTGTGTAAGTGCTTACTTAATATATTTAGAGTTAGAAGATAAACTTCCTTCTCTTTATACTTGGAAGATTTGAATCAGAGACCTCTTGAGTCACAGATATATATTGAAATATTTACTACTACTTCATCACAAGAGACAGTCATCTAAAGGAAGGTAATTGAGTGGCAAAGTGTAACTGAGTCTTGAGATTGAGGAACATTAGAATAATATACAAAAACGTATGTCCTACTTGTATGCTCTTGCCTGATTAGGATTTTTAACTCTATGGCGGGTGTGTACATTTCTAAAATTTGTTTGAAATACAGCTTTCATTTAAAATGAAGTCTGGTATACCATTAGTTCTTAGCATGATAAATAATTTAATGTTTTTCTCTGTAGTTAACTATTTATACAACAGTAAGATTTAAGAATAGAATTCTTAGGGCTGGCCGGTGAGAGCAGTTGGTTAGAGCATGGTGCTGTTAAAACCAAGGTCCAAGGTTCTATACCTGGACCAGCTAGTTTCCCCCCCAAAAAAGAATAGAATTCTTATGTGTCCTAAACCAGAGTCCATTAGAAGAGGATTATAAATTCCAGCTCATATCAACAATAATATTTTATTGTTTCCTTTTTTAAATTTAATCTGAAAATTTGCAAATTGGTATCAGTCTGTAAATTTCTTCCCAGTTAGGGAAAATAAGGACATTATCATGTGTGCAGATGCACATTTATACTTACCTATTATGTGTTTGCTATTGGTGTAAGGTTATAAGCTGCCCTTTACTGAGAAGAACTGACTCTTTCATTTTGGTGAGGGGGTTTAAAATGCCCTTTTATAAAAGGACGGTAGTTTTTGGTGGTTTATGTTTTGTTTAATGTCTGTCTGTGGCAGAATAAAAACATAGCAACCCTGTGTTGGTCCCCAAAATACATTTTTTGAAATTGTAATGGTTTGTGAAATAAACCTAGGGATTCATTATACCTGATGTCAAAGTAGCATTAAAGTATAAACAACTGAAGCAATAAATTGTTAGCCATTGCAGTCTGTTTTCTAGAGTTTGGGTTGATGTCTTTTTGGAATGTTTAAGCATCTGTGTCAGTTAGTTCCCAGTCGCTTTCGTACATAATGACCTATGGTCATTCTCTTTCATAAATATCTCCCTACCTCTGTCTCCTTGATGATGCTCACCTGAAGTCATTATCTTCCTATAATAACAGTATAGGAATTTGTGACTCACAGCTTTTGTTCT